GTTTTATTAGCAGTGAATTTGCAACTTATACACTAAATTTAAATTTGTACATGACAAATAGCTAATAAACTTGTAAAGAGAAAATAAATCGATACAAGCTACATTGAATATTTCTTATAAATTATATTCTAATAAATTTTAAACATATAACTATAAGTGTACATAAATACGACCAAATGAAATTATAAAATCTTAATCATAATGTAAAAACGTGCAAATGACACTCGACGTTGTAAAAAAAAAAAATTAACATTTAGAGAGCTTTTCCAGCTACAAAGAATTATTCAAATGCAATATTTTACAAATATATTTTAACGTACAATTTTAAAATATTTTAAAATATTATATATATTACAAATTGTTCATTTATAAGAAACCATTTCTTTTTAAATAGAATTTAATGTTAAATTTGTTGCTGTGTCATTTACCAACTTCAAAGTATAATATATATATTATATATTTCATATTAATTCTACGTTTTTACAGATTTGTCAGTTATTGGCAATTTTCTATTTTTAATAGCATTTAATTAAATTTTCAAATGATAATAAGCATTTTAGAAACGAAATAGGACTATTCTCAAATTAAAACAAATATCAAACACACTTAAAACTTTAATTGACAGCAGTTAATTTGCTGTATGCGATAAGGTTTATGAAATCAACTTGCCTAATTTGGCTTTCATGGATTTTTCTTATATTTAATATTAATAATTAATAACTGACGGCTGCCCCGTGCTTTTCTGTTCAGCAAAAATTAAAACGTGCTAAAGCGCCAAAGGCGGCATATGCAAATTTCTATGTTTGTTCGGTTTCGTTCGTAATTTTCTATGAAAAATGTTGCCGCTTTTAGTATCAGTGTTGGTATGTTGTTGTTTTCTCACATAAATTTGCCGCAGGCGCAAAATTTCACTCAAATGAAACCGGAAGCGCGGTCGTCAAGTGGAATGGACTCAAATTGTTGCTTGGTCGTTCGGTCGGACCGTCGGTGGGTCCGACGGTCGCCTGAATGTTTAGTTTATCAGGAGAAGCAGCAACAATAGCAAAAGAAATTTTAATATTTATATACAATACACGCAGTGCAATTTGCACTAAGTTTTTCTCACTTTCGCATGTTTATATCGTCCGTGTGCATGTATATACATATGTGTATGCCCGTGTTTGTGACCTGTGTGTGTCTGCTGTCTTATTTTCCACGCTCCTCATGTCAAACACTTAGTCAAAACAGCATTTGTTACGCTGCCAGTGCCAGCCACCAACGCACTGGGCAGCAACAACAACAACAACTACACCATAGTAACAATAACAACAACAACAACAAGCTCCAAGCAAAATAATAACGAGCGTTATCCAAGCATCATCATTATCAACTTTTAACCATCGGTTAATGTTGTGTGCCACCGAAATGATTTAATTTTGACAGACCTTTTTTCAAGTTTCTTTCTCGACTTTTATGTGTGGGAGTTTTTTGGCTTTTAATTTAAATTTTTTCGTTTTTTTTTTGCTGTTGTTTTTTATTTGTCTATTTTGGTCATAATTTTTGTCGTCTTGTTGGCACGCATTGTTGCTGCTCCATTGCTGTTGTTGGTGTTGCTCTTGTCGCTGTTGTTGCTACTATTTTATTTGATATGCATTACCAGCTTTCGTCATTTTTTATTTCTTCTACAACTTCTCCTTTTTGGCATTAAGTGCTTGTAAATTGGGTCAGTGGGAAGTTACACTTCAGTCGTTGACGACGGCGACGATGTTGCTCTTGTTGTTGTTGGCGGCTGCGGTGGTGGTAGTAGAGTGTTGTTGGTGTTGTTGCTGCTTGTACTTTACAGCGTCATGTGTCATAAATTATTTGTTGCTCTTGCTCTTGCCAGTCTGAGAACCTTTGCCACAGCTGCTTTGCCTGTTTGATTTTCATTGTTATATTTATTTATTTACTCCAAACCACATACTCGTTGATGGACTACAATACATTTTCTTTTGCGCTACCATGTTGCTGCTGTTGCTGCTGCTGATAGTTTAGATGTTTCTGCTGCGGTATGATAAATATCATACAATGTCGCCATTTATGTGGCGCTATCAAGCATACAATATATTTTTTGCTTGTAGCTTTTAGATGATGCGCCTCTTAATTAGCATTCAGAGATTTTATTGTCAAGTTCGTTGCCTAAGTCTTTTGTTATTTGATGTGGGGGGAATTCAGCTTTGTTTTTAAGAAGTTAAATGATAAATTATAAATTGCAGAAATATATTTTATGTACTTATCTTACATTTGGCAGCTCTTCTGAGCCAGAGCCAAAGCTGTTTAAGCACCTTTATAGGCGAGCCTGTTTGTAGGCTTCACCTAGTACTTTTTTAAATCCGGCAAGTCCTAACATCCACATTCACCGTTCGTCCGTTACAGCCAGTCAGGAAGCAATGTGCAATGTGAAGTGACTTTGGCTGTCTGCTGTCTAGACATTCTTCGATTTTCCTGCCAGCTGCAGCAAGATCAACACCAACAACAACAACAACAAAAAACAACCTGCAACAGCAACAACAATATGGGCAGCAGCTAGAGCGATGAGTAGAACAAGTGCAACGGAGGCAGCTCTAGACTGAAGAATATGTACATACTTACGAGTACATCCATGAAAGCAATGCATTTCAGTGCTTTGCTTGATTTTTATTGACACAAGTCGTTAGCGAACTGCTGACTGCACGGCCTGGTACACATTTTGCATATTTTACGAGTTCGTGTCGTTGTCTTTGTTGTTGTGGTTGCGGTTGGTTGGTAGTGTATTTGGATGTGCCTAAACTGTAGCCATTGCCGAAGACAACCCGAAGCCTAAGCTGTGTCTGGGCTTGTGCAATGGGGGTTTTTGAAAATCTTTGCATAATTACTGTGGAACATTTTGATTTGAATTCTATGTACTGTTGGCAGCTACTGAAGCTCGAAGATTGCTTTATGTGCGCGTTAAGTCACCAGTGGTCGCCAATACTTGACCCAGGAGACAGCTGACCCACATGCTGGCGCTGTGCACAACGCCTTATGTAACAGACCCATGCACACATAAATCAAGAACAGGCATTAGTGTGCATCATATGTATATATAGATTTACGTATGTGTCTGTATACATATGTATGTATATAGATAAATCATGAAGACCCCCTGTTTTCACATAAGTATACAGAGATTTCGCTTGTTAACATTAATAATAACTTGTAATTTGCAGTTGTTTGAAAGCCCCCGTTGTTGAAAATCACTCTGAGGGCGCCGAAGCAGAAGTACCTAGCAGGAGGAGAAAAGAAAAAACTAATTACAACATTTTTCACATATGTAAACATTCATTCATAATATTAAACCACACAAGCCAGCATAATGTAAACGACGAGAAACTAAGAAACAAAAATTCGAAAAAACTCACTTTGAAGATCTTCCGCGTAGCTGCCATAGCCGTTGGTTTCTCAGTGTGTTGTTAATTTTTGTTCATTAAGTCCGAAAATGGCCAAGTTTAATGTTTGACCGAGGCACAAAATTAATTAAACATTTATCAAAATCAAAGCCGCATCGCCAGGCAAAGGCAGACGCTTGGCGCAGCACCCAAACTAAACCCAAAGATGCTTGCGACCTGTTGACATTTCAACATTTAAATATACTAAGTATATTATGATTGTCATTGTTTTGAGTTTCGCTTTGGACTAACTGCGGCACATTTTTTCGACATTGTCTTTGCTTTTATTGCCTTATTAACTTGGCTTGTCAAAGTGCACCGCGCATATTGAAATTGAAACTGAAATTGAGACGAATCCCGCATTTAGGTCCAAACAAAACAAAACCGAAACAAAAACTATTCACATACCACATATCTCGGTCATCCATGACTCCAACTCGGCTGGCAATGGAAGTGGACATCGACATCAGTTTGGCTGTCGCTTTTAAATGAAAAATGCTCAAAACAAAAAAAAAAAAAACAAAAAAAGAAACACTCTGTGTCGTTCTTCTTTATGTATAGTGGTTTTTTGGGGCCCTCGTTTTTGCCTGCCCGAATGCCTGACGGCCTGCCTTACGGCCTGCGAGATGAAGTTGGACTTGGACATTGGCGGGCATATCGCTGACTTGGCCCAGCACTTGAACTGTACTTGAGTGTTGTAAATATTTTTTAAAGCTGCCTTATTGTGTCAGGCGCTAAAGTTAAAACGAATATCGAATGCCCTGATGCGCTGTACGTTAAGTCAGGTGAATGATAAGCAAGGCTTATTAATAGATGACGGCTGCTTTGAAGATTTCACACGATCTTCAAGAGATGTCTGGGTGTCCGGGTGGTCCAAAAGGCCGTTTAACAATATTTGTGTGTTTTTAAAACTAATAAGAAAATTGACTCGCATAGCAATAAATAGTACATAGGGAAACTTTGAACGCAATTCAAATACCTTGAGCTTAATTTCTTTTATTTTTTAAATTGGTTTTAGATTTGTGTTTTAGTTTATTTCAAATATTGCGTTACATGCAGTGCCAAGAAATGAAAATTTCTTTCACTTGAAGAGCACATCCCGCAAAAATGTTGCTTTTTCGTTTTTACTTTTTTCCAAGAGCTCTTCGTATTGCAGTTTGTGCCTGCTCTTGTGCTGTAACTCTTATTTTTGGGGGCTTTTTTTTGGTTTTTTGGCAATTTGGGTTACATTGGCTGCTGTCTGAAAAATTATCTGGCACTTATATTCACGCTTAATTGGCATTTTTTATGAAATCCGAGCGTGCCGAAAACAAAAACAAAAACATAAAAAAAAGCATTGAGAGACATTCGTGCTTCTGGGTTCCTTGTTTGTCAGTTTCTCTGCAGCTCTGCGGCTCTGCAGTCCCCGGCAATGACACTCGCACTCAAAATCAGAAGAAAAATCAATTTAATGAGCAAAACATGCAATAAATTACAGTGGCGCAAGGCGAAAACAATTCTGCAGCAAATTTCTTTTATTTCCTTTTTATTTTTTTTTAATTTTTCACATCAATTTGTAATAAAAACTAGGTCAAATCTGAGTAGGATTTTAGTTCGAAATGGTAGGAAACGCTTGCTGTCAAATGAATTGAATTTTATTACTTAAAATATTTATTCATCGACAATGACGTCAAGAAAGATTTCATTTTGAAGTTTGCCAAATTGTGAAACCGGTTTTTTATTTGTGTTTTGACCTTTTGTATATTTTTTGTACCCTTTGGTTAGCTGCTCTTAATGTTTTTAATTATTAATTTATTTTTGCTAATGTTCAGTTTGTTTGTTTTTCTTAATGTCTGTTTTGTTTCTGTATTTTGTTTCAGTTAGAATCCTAAGCAATATGTCAGATTCAGCACCTTAAGCTGGAACAGCGAGAACACAGCAATAATATGTAAGTCAATGATTATGCTCAAAACAAGCATTTAAGTCTTAGTCAATACCAATACATTTCACATCACTTAAAGCCAGAGCAACTACAAGCCAGAATTGGATCCCGGCCACGGTTTACGCTATCAAAATGATGGATGAGACTGGTCTCCAAACTGGTTGACCTGCGTGGGGGTGTCTTTTATTTAGCCGTTAGCCGCATACAAATATTTGAATAGATTTTAAATGCAAATCGAATTTAAACGCGCTACAAACTCGTATATTTTAATTAGTCTAATGCGTGCGGCTGACTTTTTTTTATAGCTGCTTTTTGTTTTTGTTTTAATTTTTATTGATTTCTATTTTGATGATGCGGTGCACCGCTGTGCCAAAAACAAGTTTCTATGCGCATCTCTCACAGACTTCGACTTATATTAATGGATGGGCTCAGATGCTAAATTATCTAAAATTATATACGTAGTAAGCTTACGCGCTCTAGAGTGCACCATTGACAAATTGTTAGACCAAAGACCTTTGGAATGATTGGGTTTAAGCCCCATGCATGATAAATGGCTTTTGAATGTGACTTGGATTATGCTATGCGTACATCTATAAAGACTCAACACTTTGATGTGTGTGCGTTTCTTCCGTCATGGAATACTCAATGAATGAGTTAAACAAAAAAATAAAAAGAAAACAACAACAACAAAATCAATGAATGAACAGCACACATGAATCCGGGCACTAAGCTTATCTTATAGGTTGTTATATTAGATTCGCTTGACTGCGAGCCGTACTGAAGCTTAGCTCAACATTTGATATACCATGAAAACAAGAAGCTTAAAACACCTGTTACGCTGACCACATGCCACACTGGAGTTCGTCTTGGTGCGTTGCCAAGGCTCAATAAATTTCCGAGAATGGTACATAAAAATTTGTCACATAAATTACAATTTGCATGCCCGTTGCCTGTCCAACAACAAGCACACTTGTCGCACACACACACACACACTTATATGTAGCATATGTGTTAAGCATTTCGCAATGGATTTGCTAGAACCAGCGACCGACACGACCCTAATTGCCTTTGAGTGTTGTCCCGGACTAACTGCTGTCAAGCATTACTTGTGCGTACAACTCTGCAACTGCAACAGCTCACTTTGCATCGCAACAGAGAAGATGGGGCACTGCAGCTGAACATTGCCACAGAGCACCGTTAGAGAGCGTCGCGCATTCTGGGCAATTAGCCTGGCAGCCAATTCAATTGGCAGCCTTACAAATTTACGAAATGGAGCGCGCGCATAAATGTCAGCTCCGATTTGGTGTGGGCAATTAAAAGAGCATGGAAGCGACGGCGAGGACATTGCCTGACAGATTGACAGAGCAGCAGCTTTATTTACAGCTTAATCTGCTTTATAGCCTCGACTGCAAGATGAATGACGCTGCAATTGCCTGCAGCGATAGTTGAGCTGAGATAAAGCCATGGTAGAAAGTATTGTGAGCGACTTTCTTTTTGCCGCCTGTCAACAGTTTCCAAAAAAAAAATGAAAAAAACATTGAGATGAATAAAATTCCTTAATAGGCTTTAAAATCAATTTAAAAATCTCTTCACGCAAGGTGTGAATTTTTTTAAGCCTTTTCGAGAAGGTAAAAAGACAGCAAAATCCTTGACATTAAGAGTCCTTTAGAGGAATACATTTCTTTTTGATTTCTCAAAATTTTCCTGAATGCATAACTTTCTTTATTAAGTCAACAGTTGTTGGGGTATAGAATTTTAATTTCATTTTATAGCTCTCTCATATTATCGATTGAACATTGTTCACCTCTCTACATGATTTTCGAAGGCAAATACAGATTTCACTCATTGTCTTGAAGACAGCACAATATGCATAATATAACTAAGACATTAGGTTTTTTATTTGCTGAACATTTGTTCAAAATTTATGTAAATTAACATATCGATTTCCATTTGGCACGAGCTCCAAGTTTCATAATTAAAGTGCACGCGGAGCGGGAAAAGTTGCGGTCCGTTCAAGCTACCGCAAAGATTATGCAAGACGAAACATGGCTAAAGATGCAAAAGCAAAAACAATAAACAAAAACTCATATTTCTGGCTAACGCGGGCATTGTTGCTATCAATATGCTGGTGGTGTTGTTGTTGTTTTTGGTTGCTGTTGGTTGTTGCTTTTAATATTAGTCAAGCTGCTCAGCCATTGGTCTGCTGAATGTTGGCTCATTAGCATGTTTAGTTCACGCCCCTGCGCAGCACACGCCCCTATAGGCTTGAGCTTGGTTTTCGGCTAACTTCGGCTGATAATAGCCAACAGAGTTGGTTCCCCAAAAAGCAACAGCACTCGATTGAGTTATCTAGCTGAGATTGTAACTAAGCATTGAGCTTGTACCTGGAGTCGGGTTGCTTTGGCAATAAATCAAAATTATTATCCACACATTTGACTTTTTAAGGCTACGTATGCTTTGCATTCATTTATGGCATAAGCACACACACATGCCTGTGCCGGCCCGGGTTCCTGGTTGAGTCCGTTAGCGTTAGCGTTGGCTCTGGGCAGCCAGAGAAACGGCCTTTGAAAGAATGCCATAGTCACTATCTTAGCCACTGCCAAAGAAACGGTGGCGCTGTATTATCTTGCGAACGCAATCTACAGACTCTTTGCCGGACTCCCGACATCAACTCCACATTTGAATATGACGCACGAGTGCGCCGCATGGCCAACTAGGGTGTGTGCCCGTGTCCAAGACTGCGACTGCAACTGCGAGACTGCCGGCGGCCGCATTCGGTTTTGACTTGTAGGGGCAAGCTTGATTTTCGATGTGCGATAAGAAATTTATAGTTTCAGTTTAAAAGACATTAGAGTGTAATATATTTAGAGTTTGGCCGAGCTCAACCTATCGTTGCTAAAAGAAGCTCGTTTGCCGCATTGCCTTTGTTACCAAGGCAGCCTGTGGGTGTGTAAGTCTGCCACTCAAGTAATAAATATATGCAAATATTTGCATGCACAGTACATGCAAAATAAAAGACTTAGGCAACGAACTTGCTCAGCTGAATTCATTCGCCAAGTCATCGGCTTGTCATAAAGTTATGTCGCAGAGCACAAAGCTTAAGTATTATATGATATATATAGAAATATAATAGGGCCAATCAAGGTACAGATTAGTGTATAGCTTGTACACACCAGCCGCGAGCAATTACAATACTGAAAGTATAGAATGTAATTACAACCACATATTTGTACTAAATATTAATTATTAATAGCTATTTCTAAAAGATTTCGATATATTTTTTTGTTGTAAAAAGTCAATATTTTGTCTAGAAAAATGTTTGCTTGTTTTTATTATAGTTATTCTTTTTTTCGCTGTTTATCATATGAGCTTGAAAGATTACAATCTTCATATATTTATAACAATTTACGGATTCTACAATTTTAAAAACATGGCCAATAAGCACTCAGATTATAAATAAGTTACAAATTTATTTGTTTTTTTTGCAAATAGCATTTGACTTGAGTTGATTCATAAATAGCTTGGCGCAACAACTCTTGCAAATTCATTTCTATGCAAATTTCTAGTTTCCATTTCGGTTCTCTCGAGTTTCACTTTCAATTTGCGCTTTTGGGCTTTTGTCACATTTTTAGTGGCGGTGCTTTGTCTGCCACCGTCCCATATGCATCTGTAGGTTTTACTTGTGCCTTTTTTTCTGTATTGTTTTTTCTTTGTCTTCAGCAGAAATTGTGTTTTATATGGTAAAATGCAATTTGTGCAACTTGCAAACGCGACAAACAGCAACAAGAAATAGCATCCTTTGCTATATATTGAAAGTGAAGTCTCTTAGCATATTTGTAGTTGTTGCTATTGTTGTTGTTGCTGCTGCTACTGTTGTTGTTGTTGTTATACTCTGTAAAAATTTGCATTTTTGTGCACAGCTGCTTTTTGTGCATTTCTTCACTTGCTGCTGCAATTGTTGTTAGTGATTTTGTTGTTTTTGTTGTCTTCTATTGCATTAATTTTGGCTTCTTGTCGTCGTCGTCGTCGTCGTCGTCGTCATTGTGGCTTATATGGCTGCTCGGATGCCGTTGCCTGCTGTATCTTTGTTGTTGGGTTTTGGGCTTATATTGTGGGCTCATGTACAGCATTTGTCGTTACCAGGCACTGTTGCCACATTCTGCCATTCAGGCGCTTTGTAATTAATGGTTAATTAATTGAAACGAAGTAGCTGACAATCTTAATGATCCGTAATTTGTTATTATGGTAATTTATACAAGCAGCAGCTAAGGCAGCCAATGCCCACAACAGCAACAACACTAACACCAACACAATGAAGACTTTGTTGCTGCTGCTGCTGTTGCTAATGCTGCTCTGCTGTTGTCTTGTAATACATATACAAATAAAAATTCATTAGCTTCTGAGCCATGGCTGAGTTTGACGACAGCGACAATTGTCTAATTGCAGTCACGAGCAATTTATGTAGTGTGTTTAAGCATGAGTTATATATGTACATATAGTCAATATAACTAAATGGGCAAGCAACTAAATGAATATGGTATGGGACGCCCACAGCTAGCCCTAAGAGCCAGGCCATGGCAATAAATTGCACTTGGTAAGCCTTAAGTAAAATAATGTCAGCCAGTATAAGAAATGCTTCAACTGACTGCCGGCTGGTATCAATCTGTGCACCTTCCTGGAAGATGCGCACGACTACCAAACAACAGCAGCAGCAAATCGCAACAACAATAACAACAACAACAACAACATCAACAAAGTAAACAGCCTGTCGCAAAAAACGGCAAAAAATTTGCATCTTGACGAATTTAATGATGATGATGAAAAAGACGCCACAAACATTTTGATCGACCCACAAGACGAGGCAGCCTCAAGGAGCCCACAGACTGCACACGATATTGCCATAGAGTCTCTGGGCATGTGGGAGTGTTGCTGCCGCTGCTGTTGCTGTTGCTGATGCTGTGGCTACAACGGCAACAGCATCAAATTTATGAAGATGCTTTTTGGGT